TTCAGAGGCATCTGCAAAACTTTCCATATGTTCTAATTTCTAAAAGGGGTTAACTATATATATATTAACTACAAGTATCGGCCTTTGATTCGACCTGCCACAACTGAACCTCTGAAGCAACAATTTACTTTCCAGATCTCTCCAGCAAACATCAGTTTGTCCTTATTCACTCACAATGGAAGGCAGAGCTCCTTAGTCAACATAATCCAAGTCCATGTACAGCTAGACCAATTGTTATTAAAGGTTGAATGTAAAATAGTAGATATTTTGTTGACTATATGGTTATCAACAGCAGGGGGCAGTCTTGCTAATCCCCAAATGCTAGCATGAAGCTGTGCCTAAAATTGTTGAAAGATAGGCATGACATAATTGACAGAAATCAAAAGGATGTGAGTGTGTGCTTGATTTGTCACCCCAAAAGGTAGGGGAGTCTTTTTTTTACTGTTTGATATTTTTACCCTTTGTGCAGAAGCTTACTTTAGTTTTTTTTCAGATTTGAACTGGGCCCCGTTGCATAAAACTTTTACCACTGACAGTAACTTTGCCATCAATGGCAACTACCATGGGCTCAACAGCCAATTAAAATCAAGGTTTCCATAGTATTTGCCATTGATGGCAAAGTTACCATCCATGGTGAGTTTTGTGCAACAGGGCCCAGGTCTTCAAAACTGCACTTGCTCTCATGTTTTAACCGTTTATTCACTGTTTTCTCTTAAATTTCTCTTTCCTCACACCCTCTCCGGCCTCCTCTCCCTCCCCATCCCTCCCTTCTCTCCCTCTCCCTCCCCCTCCCCCTCCCTCCCTCCCTCCCTCCCTCCCTCCATCCCTTCCTCCCTCCATCCCTTCCTCCCTCCATCGCACTCTCTCTCCCTTTCTCTCTCTTACTCAATTTCTCTTTCTCTCACAAAATCTTATACTCCATCCTTTCCTCCTCTCCTCCTCCTCCTCCTCCTCCTCCTCCTCCTCCTCCTCCTCCTCCTCCTCCTCCTCCTCCTCCTCCTCCTCCTCCTCCTCCTCCTCCTCCTCCTCCTCCTCCTCCTCCTCCTCCTCCTCCTCCTCCTCCTCCTCCTCCTCCTCCTCCTCCTCCTCCTCCTCCTCCTCCTCCTCCTCCTCCTCCTCCTCCTCCTCCTCCTCCATTATCCCCATCATTCCCTCTCCATTACCATGCCTTTCTCATGTGCATATTCTTTTGTCCCACAAATATATATATTTTTTTAATTCATCATTCATTTGAAGTACGGTATGGTGAGCCAGGGCGTTTCATCTGTTTGGAGCCAGAAGGGTGTTCACTCATGCACTTTACACAGAATTAATTTAATGCCCTTCTGGCTCTGAACGGACAATACGTTACAAACTTCCATTTTGTTTAGTTTTGTTTTACTTGTGTGAATTTCAATATTCTCTTTTCATTTCACTTTTCTCTGAACTATCTTTTTCATTATTGCATTCTATGTGGTATAATTTTGTTTGCTTTACCATGACTGATTCATCAGAAAGTAAGGTACATTTTCAATAGCAGTGGGTGTAAAAGATGTAATGTATTTAGTTCCAACTCACATTATTGACACATACAACCTCTCTCTTTCTCTCTCTTTCTCTCTCTCTCTCTTTCTCACACACACCCATATAATACTTTGTCTGAATGTCTCTCTCTCTCTCTCTCTCTCCCTCTCTCCCTCAGAAAGAGACGACTCAACTCAAGGACAATCTACAATGGTCTTGTGCATTAGCATTGTGCACAGACCGATTAAAAAATATAGTATGCTGCCTTCAGTCCTCTGGTAAATACAGGATTTCAAGTGTTGCCCCAAAAAAGGGAAAATCCCTTCACTCTTTAATCTTCCTAAAAAGATTACCGGTAAATATTTTCAATGCGTGTCATCCAAAGTTCTTTTGAAGCTTCCAAAGTTGTCTTCTTTTTTTATTCATTAGTGTAAAGTTGGAAAAAGAATGGGAAATATTTACATGACTTGGTCAAGTTAAATGAACAAGCTTGTGCTTTTCTATGGTCATGAAATAACTGTCATGGTTTTCAGATATATTGGATTCAACTCATCGAGTGCAATATTCATGCTATCTGTATGCAATTGCAATATGACATACCATGAAAGAAAGCCAACATTATTATTATTAAACATACCAATTCCTTGAATTGAACTTTTAAAATGTTAATATTAGAATAGTCCAATAAATGATGAGCAGTATAAAACAATGAGTTCCATTAAATTTTTCCCAATTTAACAGTGTATGGACTTGTGATTCCACGAGATTAAAACGCTATCATGAAATTTACGGTTGGCGCAAGCGATAGAAGCCAGCAGCATGCACTGCTTGGGAATAAATGCTCTTGCGCTGATTCTCCATCGGCGTAGTAACGTCATGTACAGGGGAAGAGTAATATGAGCTTGATCAAACAAAGTGAATCAAATACATGATTTCATAATCTTGGCAAAGAGGCTCGAAAGGAAAATATGGCATTTTAAATTTCACAAAATTAGCATGTTTAAGTTTATATACATGTAATTCTTTTTAATTACAGCACCAAAGTGCACAGTAAAACCTGACTATAAAGACCGCCTGATAGAATGAACAAAATGGCCACATGAGACAGGTTCAACAACACACATTCGTTCTTGGATGGAGACAGCATACCAAGGGTGACTGCTATACGCAGGTGGTATTTTTTATAAAGATGGCCACTAAGGATAGGTTTTGATTTATTTCCTTACGCTACATTAATTATTATAGTATTGGTATGGTATGTGCCAAACTACCATTCTCAAATAAAAGTTATTTCAAGGGGGGGGGGGGATTCCACATCTGCAACAATGACAGAAAGAGATCAATAAATATGTGAAGAAAATCAGATATGGGGTTTATAAAAAATTAATGAACAAAAATACTTGCCCTTTTTCATCTGATTGGTTACGACTTTTAAAGTTCAGAAATTTTGTATCCTGTATTGGATTTGCTTAACCTTTCACTGTTCTTGTGCTCTCATATTTCTTCTGTGATTAAATACAAGTGATTACTAGAGTTGACTTCTCCTTTAAGGATACAAGCATTCAATTCACGAAGACAAGAGAATACTATTTAATGACTGCCTTGGTAAAGATAAAGACCGGTAGTGGTAAAATCGCGGTTCAAGGGTTTTGGGTGTTAGATGTCGATTCAATATTGTTTAAATATTGCCTTCAGAGGCTTAGATGGCAATACTGCAACCTAAATTCGCAAAAAACAAAAAAAATATATGCCCAAATGTTCAATGTTGAAGTGCATCTGCGATATCTATCCAGGTCAGATCGATATGATAATTTACCAAATATATGAAAAAGTAGGCGGTTTCCCAGCAAAATTTGTATCATCACGTATTAGTCAAAACATGTTCTTTCACATGATTGGTAATAAAAGCGTTTCCATTTTATTTTTTAAGAGGGGGGCATTTCCAAAACTGGTCTATACCTTTAACATTTTGCCTATTATTTCAATATAAACTGCCAAGAGGAAGTAAAATCCATGTCCGCAATCGACAGAGAAGCATTGAACAAAAAAATGTGAGAAAGGAAGGAAGTCAGGAAAGAGTTGAACTTTAAAATGAAAGGGTAAAAAAAGAAATACATAAAAAGGAGGAAAACATCTGATAATCGCATTAAGAGGGATATTCATTGTAATTCATGCAACAAAATACATGTGAATTTGAATCATCAAATTACATTAGCGATTGTACTACAAAATAATCTGACTAGTTTGTGAAAAAATATATATCTTCAAGATTATATTCTATGTTTACGTTGACCTAAGTAATGGATTTCATGACAACATATTTTTCTTGGAATCTCTGCGGTGCAAAAATGAACATGAATATAATTGATTCCTTTTATAATCATTGATTTATTCTTATCTGTAATTCCTTCAAATTGTTGGCTTGATCAGTCCTGCTTACAATAAATACTTTGGGCTTTGCAACTTCTCTCTTGGTGCAGAGAAGTACATATTTCAAAAAATAGTTCCACTTCATTCTTTAAGTAAATGTAATGTTAATTGTTATTGTACATTTGTGATAAGTGGGGGCACGCTACAAGAGTCCTAATGTATCTCGCATCCCGGGGCAACGTGTCTGACACGGCCGGTTGTAGCAACTACTCCGAAGATCAAGATACATGAATCTTGATCTAAGGAGACACGAATGAACGAATATCAACTACCGGTAATCACTATATAGTTGTGAAGAAAAATATCCTTTTATAATCATTGATTAATTCTTATCTGTAATTCATTCATTCATTCATGAATGAATGAATGAACGAATATCAACTACCGTAATCACTATATAGTTGTGAAGAAAAATATCCTTGCTTAGAACAGATAATACAAATCAATAGGCAACCTGAAGAAGAAGAAAAATATCTGATAATTTCAAGGAACATCATAGCGCAATCACACTAAAGAGTACCGTAATACAAACTTTCTGTTCAAAGGAATTCTTTTTGGATTTGCGGTGTAAACTGTACCGTACTTGAATTTGATTTTGTTTTTACCAGTGTGACAGCTCTTTTCAGTTTACCAGAATTTATAGGGAGCTTACACGAGCTAGATTACTCACTGCTCCCATATATCTAGTTTGTTATCTACACAGACAACAGTTTACAACTGAATTACTTGTGCTCCTAGTTTTTTGGATTTTTATTGTGTTTTTTGTAAATGAGTCAAGAACGTAAGATCGATCTGTTGAGTAAGAGCCTTTCTTGCATACTTTTAGATATACTGTATGTAAAAAATGATTTCTCCATATATTTGTTTGAGAATGTGACATACTAAAGCTTACATAGATCTAAAAATACTAAATAAAGACCAGAATTCATCCAGCCCACCTTTCATACTCGAGTAACTAGAAACAACAACAAAAAATTTAAAGGGGTATGAATAATTTGGTTGTAATCCGACGGTATTTATGCATTCATACTTTTCGGCTTTACGTCTCTTGTTACTGTCATACTTACACACAGGGCGATTCCATCGATCCTGTACCTGAGAAAGTTGGCTGCATAGGATGCAAACTTCTCCTGAAAAACAAAGAAACAAGACAATTATTGAAATGTTAACGGATCATTTTGGCAAAAGAATAACGTGCTAAAACTGCAACCTGCATTGTCTCATTGCAATAAAGTACATTGCTTATTTGAATGCAAAAGTTTATCACAATCATGTCCTTTTTTTAATAATTATGTTATTCAAAGGCAGGGTATGGACATTGCTACCACTGCTGTAATGTATTTTCAAATGTGCCATCTTTCGGTGAAGACATACATAGAGTGATTTTTGGTTCCCGCATCAGAGCATCATTACGCACGCTAATGAGCTGGTGATGCATTGTGGGACATGGGTGTCAACACATGGGGCCATTGTGAGCAGCAGATGGCAGTATACATGTATGTAAATCTAAAGTTATGTCAGTAGAATGCCCTCTGCCTTTAAAGCTTATCTGCCGTAGTTTACAGGAGGGATTAGACCGCCCTGCAAGGTCACTGGACAGGTGGTTATCTCATCAACTCAGCTCTCAGTTAACATAAGAAAAAGAGGATCATGGGGGACCAATGGTCACCGATTAGGCATTGTTTGTTATATAGAGGGCGCAAGTAGCTACAAGTAGTGCAGTGGGCCTTTAAATATCCTGAACAGTAGTCTATTCAGTATTCACGTATCAGCTCTATATCCTCTAAGATAAGGGAAGTTAACACGTACACTCAGGTGAATTTGCATACAATAACAATGCCCAAAGTAATACATTAAGCTGTTAAGGCAATAATTTTGAAGAATCAAAGTTCATCTACTGTATAGCTGCACATACATTCAAGATTATTAGAACCTTGCATAAATCATTACCAGAGTGTGCTTGAAATCAACATAATGCAACAGAAAAAGGATTGTCAAAACAGGCATTACACATTATCGTATAAATCAATCCAAATTGAAAATTATGTCTTTTAACTGTCAACATGTACATGTACTATACAAAATTCTATACATCGAATGTGTTTCTTTTCATATATAAGTGTCTAAGAACCTTGAAAGTCAATGAGTTTAAATGTATTTTTGTACTAATCAGTTTTATAAAAAAAAGAACTAAATACATAGATGGAGAAGATACTGTAGATAGTGGACCGATGGTAATGTCTAGGAAAATTGGCAAAAATTGAAAATATATTCCTGAACCCTTTGTTAGTAGAGAAAATCCATTGAACTTTTGACAAGAATGTTTTATTATAACTAGGAGGTACATTAGGGCTTATACTATAGCTTCAGTGCTGTACATGTACAAGAGAAAGAGAGAGAGAGAGAGAGAGAGAGAGAGACAGACAGAAAGACAGACAGAGACAGAGACAGAAACAGACCGAGACAGTGAAAATGAAAATAATGAAATAAAAGGGGGAGAGGAGAGGAGAGGAAAGGAGAGGGTGTACATACTGTATGTATTTAGATGTTTGGTTTTTCTGTTTACTTTGACTTTGGGGAACCCAGGATATCATAGCACATACAAACAGATCACTATAGTGACTATACTGCCGTCACGTTCTACAAACACAGTTTTCAAAGACTTGCAGTAACACCTCTGATTTGAGTTTCATACTGCATGTACACAATCATGCATTGCTTCTATTTGCTAACAACATCAGCTCAAAAAGTACAAAGTGCAATACAATTGTGCAATACAATGTAATGTCTCATCACAATAGATCCTACACTGTATGCAGGTACAGACTAGACAAATTCTTAAAGGTAATACAAAGTTTGGGGAAATTTTGAAAATTGGCTGGATAGTGATTCTTTACAATTTTGAAATATTTGGATATACCTGTGGATGTTTTATAAGCACTAGAAAATTTAGCCCCTAAAACACTTCTGCTTTTGAGAAAAATTGAATATCAAAATTTACCGGGAGCACCGGTAGATTTCGATAATTTTCCAATAGCGCCTACGGCCATACAATGGTACACTGTAGCTGCGGACATGAAAATCTCAGAATTTGTAGTTGGGATATATAATTTCCAAACGGGAATAGCCAATTGGTTGATTTTAGTCAAGAAACATTGTTTTATAGCTACATTTATATCTTGACCTTGAGAGGGAGCTTTACAACATAAAGAGTTTATTTACGATTTTATCACTTTAGACTCGATTTCAACCGCGACAATGATCACTGAATATTGTACGATCGCATATGTTTCCAATATGTTCATTTGAACCAAATTCATGACCCATACCAAAAATTTGTAATACCTTTAAACCACATGTATATAATAATAATAATAATAATATAACAATAAGAAACTTTTAGTCCACTCCAAATTTTACTAAACCGAAACTGAAATTCTTTTTGCCCAATTGATCGTGAGCCCGGCAGCCACTGAGCAGCACCAGATCGACGTTGCTCTATCCCTTAAACCTCTCAGCTCTGGGGGATGTTTCACAAGGACTAATATCGACTAAGTTGTACTAGAACTACTGTATGGCAGGCCATTCATGGTCCATTGGTCTCTCGAAGGACATCACAAATTTACACACTTCAAATTTTTTAATAGTTTATTATTGAAGGAAAGAACATCTAAAGATCATAATTTCTAAGGTTTTTTCCTCTAATTTTTCTTCTGGTTCAAGAATTTTCAAGGGCATATTTGCCTGCCACAGTTCAACACTTCAAGTCCAACTTAAGTCGATCTTCTTTGTGAAACACCCCCTTGGATTATAAACTGTGTTCTAAAACTAACCTCAAACATAATTGCCACCCTAACCATAACCCTACATCTTTGACAAAATCAAAATCAATCTAGAGAAAGTTGTTGATATCTAATACAGCAGCCAATTACATTGTAGTTGCCATGGAAACATGACACTACATTTGCCTGGAGTCAACCCTTTCAGAACAGGATTTATTTTTAGGGCTTAATTAATCACATGGTGTTCTTCAAATTGGCACCAATATTCTATTATTGGTAATAGACTGCTACAATAAAATGTCACTGACAACAAAGGTGGGAATGTTGTCGAAATAGAGAAATACTGATTTTGAATCTCTCAACCTGTTGCCAATTTAAAGATTTTAAAGCAAATTTTCGACTTTTTTAATTCCTGGTATCAAACGCAATATAGCCATGTAACAAAAATGGATGGAGTGAGTCAACCCTTTCAGAACAGGATATATTTTTAGGGCTAAATTAATTACATGTTGTTCTTCAAATTGGCACCAATAACGTTTTTTCCTTCAATAATAAAACTATTATTGGTACTACACTGCTACGATGAAATAAAATGTCTCTGACAACAACATACATACATGTAAGTGAGAGTGGTGTCCAATGTTGTCCACGTAGAAAAACAATGAATTTGAAATCACCCAACGTGTTGCCAATTTAAAGATTTTAAAGCAAATTTTTTTCTTTTTTAATTCCTGGTATCAAACGCGATATAGTCATGTAACAAAAATGGATGGAGTTCCCTTTCCACTTTATGCATAAGGCATATCATTTAGGGCTCTGAATTGAAAGTTATAGCTCTAGGCAAACCAAGAAATGTGGAATGATTGTCGCGAAAAGGTTTCATCGGCCGGGTGGCAGAAGGGTGTTAGCGCGCGAGCGACTCGAAAACTACTTTTCGAATTATTCGCATTTAAAGATTTGTTTCATATTGCTTTCTGTCCCAAAAATTGGTTTAAAATAATATCAATGTTATAGTTGAACACAGCCACAATTTTTTTGTCGGAAATATGTCAGTTTTATAAAAGTTTGAAATGATTTAGTGCTAACGCCCTTCTGCTTAAAGTTTCATTATTGACCTGAAATTTGAGCTAACGCCCTGAAATTTGAGCTAACGCCCTGAAATTTGAGCTAACGCCCTTCTGCCAGCCAGGCGACAGGTTTATTGAAGTGAAGGTACTTAAACAATGTACACATCATAATTTTGAGGAAGTAGGCCATATACATCACCAATACACTTATAAACCACACACATGTACCAAGGACATGTCTAGTAGGTCCATGCATGTTCCATTTTACTTCCATGAATACAAACCCCTGACACACTAGCTAACATAAATATTTATGGCATTGCACATGACCGTTAGCTTTCAGACACAAGCCCCTGACCCGTTTCTTTTTTTGTATAACTCTTTGTGTTAGGTCTACAATTCAATTCACTTGCAGGCCTGCAGATAATATGCAGCCATTCTCAAGGTTATGGGTTTTGTGCGAATATAAAGAACAAATAAAATCAGAATTCTTCAGTTAGCTTTGAAAGTTTTTTTTTTTTTTTTTTTTTGGGGGGGGGGGGGGGTAGGTAGGCAACAGATTTACTCTCTGTATGGAAGGCCCCCCCCCAAAAAAAAAAAAAACAACAACAACAACAACAACAAACTAACAAAAAAACATCCACCTGTAATTTCTCCAAAATGCAAGCCTACTAAGACTTAGGACTGGGGTTTAAAGGTAAAGACCAGTATTGGAAATGCCCCAATTTCAAAAAAATGAAATGGAAGCTCTCATTACCAATCATGTGAAAGAATATGTTTTGACTAATACATGATGATAAAAAATTTGCCGGGAAACCGCCTACTAATTCATATATTTGGTAAATTTGTTTCTCTCATGGTCTGTGAGAGATATAGGGTAGTCCATTGTAACTTTACGAAGAATGGGCCAAATTTCTTATCATTTTGATGATTCCAGAACCTTGCAGATGCTAGATGCTACACTGTAGATGATCAACCTTTTCTGATCGATTCCACAACGTTTCTTTCACAATGCAATCACATGACCATAACTGGTCTTTACCTTTAAAGGTTTTCATCACACCAACTGATCCTTGATAATTTTCGATACCAGAAATTGTAGATGTAAATCATAATCGTCCTAGGATCAAATAGTTTAGGGTTGGGATTATGCAAAAGAAAAAAATCACAATGGACTTGGCACAACACTACTTTTTTGCTGTGAAAATGGCAATCCTTTAAAGGTAAAGACCAGTTTTGGAAATGCCTCCCTCTCAAAAAGTGAAAATGGAAGCTCATGAG